GCTTACTTTTTCACTTGTTAGAGAATAAAGTTAACATCGTTGATCACTTAACTTATATTTTATTATATGATGGTTTGACTTATAACGGATGTATTGCTTAACATGGTTTAGCTTAGAGTTTATGTTTTTTATTTCACTTTGTTTCCTTGTCACCTAATAAAGTGGAAATGAACTTCTCTTACGGTTAGTTTTGGTAATCCTTTTGACTTATATTTTGTATAGTGTTTGCTGAGAAATGGAAAAGTTGATTAGTTTAACTCAAATGCTTTCTTTAATATGCAATTTTCTCTTTAGATTTGACGGTTATTACAACTGTTTGGTCTGTGTCATTGGGAATTAGTTTTGTCTTTTGCTTTGGTTTTTGCTCTTTATATGACATAAAATTTATATATTAGCTTCATGTTTTTTAATAGGAGAGGCTGAGAAGATAAGAAGAAGAGGACCATCATAACTTCAGAAAATATATATCTTATGTTATTATTTATGCTTTGGATTATATAAACTTTAATATGTTTTGGATTTGTAAAAGTATGAATTTTATTGTATGAAAATTTTATGCTTTGAATTTGTAAAACATAAGAGATTTTAAGAGATTTGGGCTTTAGAAACAGAAAAATTATTTGGACATTGTGGAAGGCCCATTTGGAATGGTCCAATTTGGTCTGGACAATTTGGACTTGGTACAATTTGGACTTAAAAATAATTATGTCCATTTGGTCTGTTATGTCCATTTGAACATACCCATTGGACATGGACAGCCCAATTGACATCTCTAGCCATGCATACTCATTCCTGCAATGATTGCATGCAGCTTTCAACTTCCCACTGGCTTTATGTACCACCTTAAAATCGGTCCACACATCTGATCTTTGCCTCTCTTCCCTTTCCTCGTCATCGAGTTCATCATCATCATCCTCTTCTTCATCGCCAACTTCATCGTCAAAGTCAGGTATGTCCTCTACGACCTTCTCCTTCTTCTTTTGCGACTTAGTAAGCATGACCTTCTTCTTTGGTGATTGAGTAGGCACGGTCTTTCTTCTCCCTCCACGAATCACAGACTTCATAGGAACAGTCTTCCTACACGCCTGTGAGGATGAGCCAATGCCACCATCTATAGTGGATTGCAACATCGGTTTCCTCGAGGCTGTTCCAAAAGAAGTCTTTCTGCGAGGCTTGGTTTTTTGAGATGATGGAGTGATCTCAACATCAGAATAATCAGTTTCATCTACAAGACTGATAAGCTTTCTTTTGCTTCCTTTCTTTCCAAGAACGCAAGCTACATCGTCTTCAGGGAAACGATCAATGTTTGTTTCTTCAGCAACAAGCTTAGCTATGAGATTTTGAGTTTCCAAATCAACTGTATCTGGTGGGACGTAATTCGGATCAAACGTGTGATCTTCTGAATCGCCTCTCGATCCCATGCTCTCTCTCTTAGGTTTTGCGGTTATGGTGTTTTTTTTTTGTCTCGTCTAGCGGTTTCTCTAAAACTGTTTTAGTTATTAGGGCTTCCTAAATTTTGTGAAAATTCTAATTAAAAAATTATTTAAATTGTTTTTTAAATATTAGAAATTTTATGCAAGCACACATCCAATTATCCACGTAAATTAATACAATAATACCCTAAGCTACCGATAACCTATGATAAGCTACGTTCCACTTTCAGTGATTAAGTAACTCACCTTAGAGCTTCAGTTGTTTTAACTTGAATCTCCATTGATCCTGCTTTTTCACGACCACTCCATCATCTCGGTGCCTAGTAAAGACAAGCAATGCAACTCATTAGACAATCAATTCAAACAAATGAACAATCATATAAAAATAAATTTAACAAATTTAACAAATTTAGAAATTAGATCACAAAACCAATGAGCTGAGTCTTTTCTTAACTTCGCACGAAATTTAGCCGCCAAGCCTCTGATCAATCACCCTTGAGTCCTTAGGATGATTTTTCAAAAGCTAGGAGGCTTAAATTCCGTGACCAAGTAAAGACAAGTAATGCAACACTAAATTCAAGCACATGAACAATCATATGAGCTGAGTCTTGTCTTAACTTCGCACGGAGTTTACCCGCCAAGCCTCTGATCAATCATCCTTGAGTCCTTAGGATGATTTTTCAAAAGCTTGGAGGGCTAAACTCCGTGACCTAGTAAAGACAAGTAATGCAACACTCAATCAAATTCAAATAATTTAACAAATTTAGGTCAGACATATTAATTCAAACAAATTTAAATTTAGATTAGACATTTTTATTAACAAATTTAGGTCAAACATATCAATTTTAACCTAGTTCAATCTTGTCTTAAGTTCGCACCGAGTTCAACCGCCCAGCCTGTGAACAATCACCCTTGAGTCCTTAGGATGATTTTTCACAAGCTGGGTGGTTTAAACTCGGTGACCTACTGAAGACAAGCAAGTATGATCAAACATATTATAAAAATGATTTAATCTATAATATTACTTAATTATATTAAATTATTAAACCTTTATAAATTAAATTATAATATTGAATTTTCTCAAAGTCAGACAAACTAAAATATTACCTTTGTAAATTATATTATAATATTTTTTTTAATATTAAAAACCTTTATAAATAAAAAAAAATTATTTTTGATAAAAAATAATTAACAAAATTTTGAAGAACATGCAGGGACTCCTCGCCGGCAAAGAAGACAAACGAAGCACAACAACTCCTCTTCAATGTAACTTGAATGTAAGCTCCGATTGAAGTACATGCAGGGACAAAATTAAAATTAGACATCATATAAATCAAAGAACATGCAGAAAAATACAGAGAGAAAATTACCTTCAGAGGAGATTGCATGTCGAATTACTCTTGCATGTACCTAAAATTTGGAGAACAAAGTTAGAGAATATTCATACAACTATAAAGATTAAACACAGAGACATCAAACAAAAAATTCGTAATAATGCACCGAAAATAGTAATAATCCACAGCTAAAATACCTTCAGAGGAGGTCGGATATCGAACTACTCTTCAACCACTCTTGCATGTACCTGAAATTTGGAGAACAAAGTTAGAGAATATTCAAAAAACTATAAAGATTAAACACAGAGACATCAAACAATACCAGATCCGTCGCATGCATGGAGAGAGAACTCAAAACCCGTCAAGATCGATCAAGATGCGTGGAGAGAACTCAAGATCCGTCGCTCAAGAAGCCACCGGACGATGGAGGTTCTTCTTCTCCGGTGGAAAGAGTTTTACGAATCAAGAACAACAAGATTCTTGTCACAGCTTTCGGGAGAAGAAGAAGAGCCACCACCGTCCGGCGGAGTCTTTGCGAGTAACCGGAACCGGAGAAGAAGAGTCTTGCCGATCTCGTCTCTTTATCTCACTCTCACACTCTCTCTCGCTCTCTCTCTCTCTCTCTCTCTCTCTTTGTTTTTTCAGGTCGACTGAAATGGAATGGAGTCAAGGAAGCGGTACTTAGGGCGAACCGCGGTCTTCTTTGGGCCGTCCCGCATGAAGCCCATCCCGCGAATGACCCATCCCGCTAGGCCTGCAATTCTGCGGGATACCAATTCCTAGGCCCAAACCTGCCCCGCCACAGGTTTTAACGGGCCTGTCCCGCGGCCCAGTCCTTACTTTGACATCCCTAAGTAAAAGGCAGACTCTGAGCATCACATATAATTTGTCATCCATTATATTTGTTGCCCTTAAAATATGTCGAATTGTAAAGGTAGAAATTAAATTCTTATATCGTAGAAATCCTTCCATATGTATAGTAAAAACTGTTTTTTTCTGTCGGTGTAAACACTATATTCAACAGTTAAGAACAGTTTGTTGCAAAACCACTATTGAAATATATAGAATCCTAATGTATTTTATTACCCAAGTTTGTTTGTAAAAGTAACAAACTACTACAGGTATTAATGGCATCCATTATAGTTTCAGTTGCTCATCCTTTCCTACCGAACCATTCTTGTCCTGTAAAGATGTTACTCTCTTTTCAGGATTCATCAACATGACACCAAATCAAATTGCTAAAATCGTGACTCCCATGATATGTAGTGTATTCCCACATGATTGGAGGATTCTTATTTGTGTTTCCGCCTACTAAGACCATTCAATTTCTGCCAAATGAAGAATATCTAGAGGATTCTTAGTTTTATTTTTAAAGTTTTTATCCTTTCGTTTTTTTTATATATACCATATTATCCATACAAAATAATTTAAATTTGTTTTTTTTTTGGAAATTTTCAAAATAAATAATGTTTGAAGTACTGGAGAAAATTCTTGGGTGAGATAGGAATATTTGAAAGAGTGTTAGTGGACACCTAAAAATAACATGATTTGCCATTTCTTCCTCAACTTCACAAATTGAACACCAAATGTCATATTTAATACTATAAGTCTATATATTCTTTGTAATGAGTAAAATATTTCAAATAATCTGTCAAATAAAATATTTAAATTTTAGGGAACAATGAAATTTCTATGTAAAAACTAGTAACTTTTATATTTAGTCAAAAAATATATTTTTACATTTCCAATTCAGGATAAAATTTTTTCGTACGATATTCTAATTTAACTATATACTTAAATTGGAATAAAATTTTTTCTGGTTTGATATCCTAATTTAACTATATACGACCTTGGTTCGTAAAATCTATGTATATAATCAATTATCATAACAAATATTTAAAATTTAGTAAAGCTTTTATATCTGATCAAAATGTATATTATTGCATTTTTAAATTGGAAGACAGTTTTTCTATACAATATCTGGATCCACAAAATCACTCATATGATCAATTTTTTTTTGATTAATACGATCAGTTTTCCATAACAGAAAGATGATCAGTTTTTCAAAACAGAAATTTAATTTATGATTATAGTGTGTGTCATGCATCAATTAAATGTTTTTTTTTTTTTGGGCAAAGCATCAATTAAATGTATATCAGCAAAAGAAAGAACATAAATGAGTGTTTCCAAATATGTAATTTTCAAAAATTTCGTTTTGTCGGAAAAGAAAGAAATGAGCGGCTACCCGGTTCCGAAACCGGAGCAGAGTCATCACCACCGCCTCTTCGATTTCGCCAAAACAGCCATAATCAAAATCTTCGCACATCCTTACACCACTGTACAAAGTCTCATCCTTCTCCCTCTCAAAACCACAAAAATTGATTACACAAAGTCTCATCCTTTTTTATGTGTTGTCTTAAGGTTTGCGAGTTGTACTGCGGCGAAGCTCCCGACACCGACAAGTGGGAAGCTTCCCTAATCGGTCACTACATCGGAATCGGTACTATTACTTATATTTATTACCACTACAGCTTTTCTCAAAGAGTAATTAATGGGTTTGGCAACTTTATGGTTAGATACAGCGTCTTCTGGGATATCTTGGGTACAAGAAGCTTGGGAGAGTCAGAGGAAGAGTTACAATGTTGACTTCTTTGAAGCTGATCCTTCCAAGGTGAGGCTTTTACAATCTTAATTACTAATGTGGAGCACACTTCTTAAGCTTCATGTGGTGTTATAACAGGAGGATCTTGAAATGAAGTTAGAGAAGATAGTTGGGGAAGTTGATTTAGTTCCCTGTTGGCGCCATCTGCAGGTTTTTGCTTTTTACTTATGGATATGTAGTAGCATTAGCAATAACGTGATGGTTGTAACAAATCTTGTTGCTTTAGTTATGCTTTGAAACTGAGGAGAGTGCGAGAAGGCTCCTAACTAATGTTGCAAGTTTACTGAAACCGGGTGGTTACTTTTTCGGAATCACTCCTGATTCGTCTACCATATGGTATGAAAGAATGTTACATCTGAATTCTTAATCTATTTTGTGATTAACATCTAGCTTTCCATGTTCTCTCTACTGGTGTATGAAGCCTATTACAATATCTCTGCCACCAAGTTTTCTGTGTCTACTATTGAGTGCTGTTTGGAATGGAAAGTTATATGAGAAAGCATCTCGATTTATTGCAAGGGTGTATTCTTGTTTTTTGAGTACCTGAATTGGATGAGACTGTTTTAGATAACTCCAATAAGTAATTTGTTGTTTGTCCTGATGTCTCCTGCGAATTGATACTAAAAGAATTCCAAGTCATTGGTTTAAACATTTGACTGCCTACATATTATTTTGTTCCATTGGACTGCGCATCTTAACATTATGGTAAAACAGGGCAAAATACCAGAAGAATGTCGAAGCATACCACAATAGGAGCGGAGGGACAAAGCCTAATGTTTTCCCCAACTACATTCGGTCAGAAAGTTACATGATCACTTTCGAAGTAGAGGAAGAAAAGTGAGCTATTTTTTTCTGAGAAAAGAAAGAAATAATTCTTCCATAAGAGTTTCTTTTATGAAATTAGAGACTGTTTGGTATTTTCTACTCAGGTTTCCGCTGTTTGGGAAGAGGTATCAGCTGAAATTCTCTGGTGACAACCCTCCTGAAGACCATTGCTTGGTTCACTTCCCAAGCTTAATCAGGTGGGTTCTTATAGCAGCATGATCTCACCTTTTGTGTTCAACAAAACGTATGATATTGCAATATGACATTACCATATCACAATGCTTGTTGACATTGGTGCTTGTATTTAATTTTAAACTCTTTAGTTTAAGATATATTCCTATTGCAATACTTGTCATATTGCTTCGAGTTGATTTTGAAAGGACGTCCATATCTATATATATCTTTTGATCCTTTGTCCTCTAAGTTTTTCTTTTGTATTTTTTTATTCAGGTTAGCGAGAGAAGCTGGCCTTGAATATGTGGAGATTCAAAGTTTAACAGATTTTTATGATGATAACAGGTTTGAAAGTCTGACAATGCTTACATATTCCCAATATCATATCACGAGCTTTAGTATATTATAGTTTCTTTCTTCTAAGGCTGTATTACATTGCTTATGCTGTTCAACTCTTCTTGTCAGAGCCCAATTTGCAAGCTTGCTGATGAGTGCTGGCCCGAACTTTGTTGACCCTAGAGGAAAACTTCTTCCACGGGCATTTGATTTATTAGGTAACCTTTTCTTCATCTTATGCCATCTTATCTAATTTAATCTCTCCATGTTTGATACTCTGCTACTACTTAGCTACCCTTTCTTTTTGAGCAGGGCTCTATGCAACATTTATATTTCAGAAGCCTGACCCAGACCTTGAACCTCCTTTAAGGACTCCAATACCTTTCGAGAGTTGTAATGATAATGATGAGGCAAGCGTCTTTTTCTCGTCTTATTTCATTGTATACAAGTATCAACTACTTTGAACTTCCCTGAAAGTACACAACAGTTGCTTCAGTCTTAAGCTCCCTGCTCATTGTATTTGGTCCATTTACAGAGAGACTTTCCGATGGTCACTGACACAAGGGCACCTTCAGAAGATTCATCACAAGGACTAGGGAAGATTAGTGAGCAAAAGGGAATATTGGGACCTGGCCCTGCTGATTTACGTTTCTCTGAGGCAATTTGACCCCTCTTTTCTTTGAGAACTGGTTGCTTGGCCATTGTATGAGGTTGTATTGTGAAAGAGTTAAATCATGTTTTGTTTTGTTACAGGATCAGATCACTATGTTATTTAATAAATATAGATCAGTTTTTCCTTTTCAAGTGAATTCCATCAACATTCAACACACACTTGACATATTGATAGTTCTTTACTCCATGATTGTAAACGAAATGAGCCAAAGATTTTTTAAAATCTTGCTGAAGAGACAGCTTCTCCCCTGTAAGAGGACAAAGATACACAATAGTACAGTTTAACTCAATCGGAATCAGAGTCATGCCTCCTCCTCCTATCCTTCTTCTCTTTCTTGTGCTTCTTCCTGTCATCAGAATCACGAGTGTCTCGCTTTTCATGCCTCTCACGTTTCTCACGCCTTTCATGTTTTTCACGCCTTTCATGTCTCTCTTCCCTATCTCTCTTCGCAGGCTTCCTTTCCTCGTGCCTATCCTTCTCTTGGTTCCTCTCAGTATCTTTTGGTACATTTTCAACAGTCTTGATCGCTGGTGCATCTACTGGCAGACGTGATGGCCCTGCGTCTTCTGTCTGAGTGGGTGCAAGGGTGCTGGGATCTTCCCAAGGTCGAGGTGCCCTGTAAAACATAACCACACCAAAAACATCAACAAGAGTTTTTTAAAGAAGTAGAGATGGTCACACAGAAAAAGAAAAACTTACTTTGCATAGCCAAGGCCGTGAACCCACACTGCATCAGCCTTTCCTGCACCCAAGTCCTCGGCTGTTGATTCCCTTTTCAAAAGGTCGTTAAACTCTTGCTTGTCAAGGCGATTGCCTTGTGGTCTTGTAGAGGACTTTGGTGCCAAACCCAGAGCCTCCCTCATGGCTTGCTCCTCTTGTTCCTTAACTCTTTGAATCTCCTCTTTGATAGCATCCGTGTTCGGACCCCCTTTTTTCTTATCTCTAGCATACCAATTAAGATCTTTACCTGTTCAATCCGCAGAGAAATGGAATGTCAGTCTAAAGTTGTACATTGAAGATTAATCTACAAAAATCTATTAGCTAGATAAAAGGCCATAGATTAAATCAAAACAAAAATTAAAGTAAAACAACCATTAACCACCTATACCCCAATGAAACTCTACGGAACATACAAAAAAATTCTGAATGCAAAGTGACAACAGACAAAACGAAATAGAAGCAGAGATGACGGTTGAGACATGTATAATTTTATGAAGTTGAGATGACTTAATATTCCAGCGCTTATAAACTGCAGAAAAATTGCAGAACTAGAGAAGGCACAAAAAGAGCTAATAAGATGATTATGATGATATAACTAAATCAATGATTTTGACTATGTGTTAGAGCTTCGTGAAAGCCCTTCTGACGTTCACCTATAGTCTAATGATATCTACCAGAAACAATCAAACAATTTATCCAAAAATATTTCAGTTGACAAAGCTAGTATTCAATGAATGGCAAAAGAGTTTGAAGCATATTGTCAAGATGACTAATTAACTAACAGGCAGGGTTTCATTTAATCACTAGTTAACGAGAAAATTAAAGAAACAAGAAAAGGTAGGGAATAAGAGGAAAAGAAGGTAACCTTTTTGCCATCGTCCAACAGGGGCCTTGACACTGTGACCCAAATAGTTCTCCCTATGTTTATCAGCCTTCACTTCATCCCAACTAAACTCTGCAAATTTCACAAACAAATTAAACATTCAGTGTTAAAAATCTTCATCATCATAAGCAAATAGCTAACAATTCAAGTGGAAACAACCGATTAGACTAGAACCTATGGAAGCAATTTAGCTTCAATCACAAATCTTTATACCAAATCAACATCTTCAAACCCTAGATCGCTCATGGCCAAATTGAATTTGAGGATAAAAGGGAAACCCTAGAATCCTGAGATTGTTTAACAGATCTATTAACAACAGAAGAAAAACTCGAAACAAATATCAAAAGGGGATTTACTTACGGTCTCGACCACCACGAACACCGCCTCTCGTCGGATGATACATGATCTGAGAATTGACGACCCTAAAAGCTTCAACTTCGGTAATTAATTGCAAAGTTCTCTTTTTTCTAATATAAATAAAATAAAAACATAAAAAATTGTGGACGGTCGGATTGATTGTTAATTAATGGGCCGTAACCGGCCCATTTAAGTTTTTAACACAAACAAAGTTCGAAACGACACGTACGCCACGTGTGGTAGTAGACAAAGAGGAGAAGAAGTGACCACCAGAAGATTTGTATCCTTAAAAATATCCGTCGATTCAGAACCCTAAGCGGTGGATCCACACAACAACAACTATGGCTGAACCCCAACAGCAGCAAGTCTCCGATTCTCCTCAGCTGCAGTTACCTTCTTTCGTCGTTAACTTGTTCCCCTTTCTCAAACCTAAGTCTCCTCCTAATGGCGCCGATGGTGGTCCTAAACCCACGGGAGGAGATAAGGAAACTCAGAACTCGAAAGTCTCTTTCCCTTACAATCCTCCAAAGAACGCAGAGCCGCTCAAGTGTGAAGCCGAGCCTAGCTCTGGAAGCACTTCCAACTCTCTCGTCATTTGGCAGGTACATACTTGATTTCTTAGATGAAACAATCATATTGAAGAAACTGTTAATTTCATTGGGAGAGCTTTGTCCATGGCTGTGTGTTTTAAGGGTTTATTAGAGTTTAACACTCATGGAAAGTGTTATTTATTGAGAGTTTTGTCCATAGTAGGACCATATGTCTGTTTATTGCAGATGTTGATTATTGTTATCTTTTGTTGAGTTTCTTTTTACGCACTTCTGTCTGTTTGTCTTGTCTGAAATGTAACAGCAGTTCGATTTTCTCGATTTTTGTATAGGTGAAGACAGTTTTTTGCCTACTTTTTTTTTAATCAGATGTTAATGATTGTCTCTTTGTTTGTATATCTTTGATTTTCTCTTTAGCGCACTTCTGTCTGCTTGTCTTCTTGTCTGAAAAGTAAAAGCTGTTCGAATTCTCGATTTTGCACACAAGTGACAGACATTTTTTGGCTACGTTTTTTGTATTGGTTTTGGTCTAGTTGCAATGGTGCTATATTGAATTGTGAAGATGATTAGAGTTTTTGTTCTGCGTACTGCAACAACATGTGCGTCACTAATAGGAGAAACGCATTACTTGTGCTCACTTGTGTTACTCGTTTCTTCTTGTTGTTGTTTTGATTGTGTTTAAAGCCTGCAAAAAAAGTTGAATACTTGGTTGCTTCAAAACTATTTTTTTCAGGTGTATGCACTTGGAGGATTTCTTGTCCTGAAGTGGGCCTGGGCGAGATGGAATGAGAGGAACGACAAAAAGAAGACTACGGATGGTAATGATGATGCTGAAGATGATGATCAAGCTCCTCATCGGGAAGATGATTAATCTTCATCATGAAGGCTAGTCATATTGCACGGAAACAATGATTGTGTTTGCCCCATTTTGGTTCTGTATAGCAAAAAAAAAATCATTTCAGATTTTCTTATATCTCATTGTATCTACTCAGGATACTCTTGAGTTTCTTCTACTTCTGTAATGACTACAATTCTCCTCTCTTAATGCAGTTTTTTTCTTTCTTTTCCACAAATTAAAGATCATCTTCTTGTCTTATGTTCTATTTGATGCCCATAATTTTGATGGTAGCACGTTCATGGTGCTGTTGGTGTCTGGTCTCACCTGGGTCTGAACCGCTATTTTTGTCCACACAATTGAAGGATAAGATTCGAAGAGCTCGGAAACGAGCTTCAAGGAAGACACTAGATCATCGCCACGTTCTAAGGACGTGGAAAGAACTAGTACAAAAACAGATGTTAAAGGAGCAACGGTATGTAATAAACAATCAATGTCCTGTACTTATAACGCTATGAATCACTCACATACACACCTTTTGCACCTTCTTTACAGTATTTCGTTTGACTTTGTTTCTAACAAATTCACACACAAAGCAGGTTTGGTCTCTACACATTGTATACAACACACTAAGGTTTCAACATATTATATTACAGCTTTGATCAGAAAGCACACAACAGAATCATACTCGCCTAAACAAGCCGTCACCTGAACCACCACTAGGAGGCAACCCAACCGCACGTGTGTAATAAGGAGTCGAATACATTTCTCTACTACGCAGAACTGAATCAGGACACAAGCTCCGTGCAGGTGCCATGGGAGCATACGTACTTACTTGTCTATCTAACTTGAAGCTAGCTGATGATGGTTGGTTACTTCCAAAACCAGAGATGACCCTTCCTGAAACACTTGGTGTGGCTTCTTGATTATCTGCCCTGAAGCCTGCATATAGTTTTGGTCCACCAATGTATGGAGTGGTCAGAGGACGCTCATCTATTGAGAAAGGAGGACTCGCGTCAGGTGTATGGCTAACCAGAGCTTTCTGAGAACTCGGAGAAGCTAGAAAGCTGTTCCTAGTTGATGCATCAGGTGAAAAGTCAGTGGGCACTCGAAAAAGACCAGCACATCCAACAGGAAACTCTACTGTGGAACCGACGTTAGAAGAAGTAGGGAGAGATGATTTGGAACCAGGTGCTGCCTCTATGGGTAGTGCGTATGTGTTCATATACGAACCTGGCGTTGAAGGGTATGAGCAAAGATACTCAGGTTTTCTGATATGTAGGCTATTGACTTTCTCTTGCAGAGCTAGCTTAGCTTGCTTTAGCGCAGTGAGTACTGTATCACATGTATCAGACTTCTCCTTTGCCATTGGAACTAAGGGATAATCTACTTTCTGGATGGTAGTTGCTCTCGAGTTAGGTTGAGTTATAGGAGGTGGCTGAATAGTTGATGAAGAGTGCTCAGAGATACCTTTAGAGCTCTGTGAATGAGAAGACTCACTTTTAGGACTCTCAGGTGTTTGTTTTCCTTTGTCTAAAGAAGAAGAAGCATCTTGTTCCATAGCTTTTGATCCACAACTGTTGCAGCACTTATCAGGTGACGTTACTGAGTTATCAGGCGAACCTTGGTCAACTTCATTAGCTACAGACCTTGTATCACAGAGTGGAGGTACTAGTGTTGAACCTTGGACCTGAGTTTGTGTTTTTTCTCCGTTACTTTCATCTGTCACATCTGAATGGTTCCCTACGTCACATGAGTCCTGCAAGATTGAAGAAGAAACAAGATATTAAGATCTCTAAAAATCTTGTAGAGGTCACAGCTCTGAGACACAAGGCATACCAGGGCAGATGATTTATTATCAGTGAACTCTTTCTCCCACTGCTTTTGAGTCTCTTCCATATCTTCAAAAGACCCAATAACTTGTGCACGTTTTTGTAAAGCTCTCTCTAAGTTGATGTCCATATTGTCTCTCTTCTCTAATACATTCTGCAAGCTTTGGTCTCCCTTCATAACATCAACACCATCCACAGATGCCTCTTCACTCAATTTAGGAACCACTTCAGTGCCATCTTGAAGATCAACAACCGCATCGCCATCTCCCTTATGATCTTCAGATACAGTTCTGGAAAGTCAAAGAAACATTGGTTGCTTTAACACACAACACACATAAGCAAGTTTTACAATAGAGATTCTCATCAGACCTTGATTCACTGCGTTTTATTTGTCTACAAGACCTTCCTTGACGGTGTCTTGGACGCCAAATATAAGCAGAGTCAAAACCTCTCTGTCTCCTATTACTGGCCTTGTCAGAAGAAGCTGCTTCTCTCCTGCGCCCTTTCCAGGATAGACTTTTGCCCGACACTGTAAAAGAAATACATTCTCTGATGCTGAGGAGCTGCTCCATCTCAAATTTTGAAGCTTTCCTCACAAACTAAGATAGAAACGCTAACCTGAACTCGTCTGAGAGTAGCTTTCTTGATCAGAGCTTGAATCATAACCGTCTGAGACATTAGTAAACCCATGTTCTGCAAGGATGGCAAGGACATCAGCAGTTGCCTGTTCTGCCTTCTTTCTCTGTAAAGACACAATCTTTAGCTGTTCCTCCAGCTCTGCTACCTAAATATCACAACATAAAGACGACATTAAGGCTTTGAATGATGCAAATTAGCAAAAAGAGAGACAATACTTTATCAGAGAGTCCATCAAGCTTAGCTCTTGCGCTCTTGGAAACAGCTCTTTCAGCGAGTAAACGCGCACGGAGAAACTCAATGGTCGTTGAAGTAGGATCTTGTTCGTCTGAATCATTACACCTATCAAATCATTACAAAGATCAACCAGGTTTCTTGAAATGTGATTCGGTTGCAGAAGATTCTAGTCAATATGATCGTTGAGAAACTATTGTCTAAAGAACAAGACGATTGAATTTGGAAAACAGACAGAACATAACAGAAGTATTACCGAAGATGATCCAAGCTGTCCTGAAGAGCCATCACCAAAAAGAAGAAGATCCAAAGATCTGTTAGTTTTGAAGACTTGTCTGAAAATAAACTTTATGATATATGTAGAGCCTGAGGTGAGAAGCCGTCTCTCTTTCTCTCTCTGTTGAATGAAAGAGTCAACAATGAAAGGTTTTAATTCCTACTCATTAAAGTATGTTTCTATGTTCTCATTGGTTCTTAAATGATAAAACTAATTGATATAGATGCTGGTATGGTAGCTAATTAATTTATTGCATAATCACGAATTAAAACTATAATTAAACTAAACATTTTTTTGTCAACATAATTAAATTACACATAATTAAAAATTGCGGAATTATTCTTATTTTTTTTAATTTTTTTTGAATGAACAAATAAATTATACAGTATTTTTGTATAGAATTTTCACGTAATTAAAAAATCATGAATATTTACAATTAATTATATTATTTATTTTTCTATACAGTTTTGAATAATTATCATTCAATTAGATTTAGTCAGTTTAAATCTTGTCCATTATTGTTTTCAAAAATATATAATTCATCAGAATTGATTAATAAAATATTTTAAGGGTCCGACTGGTTTCCCCGCTACCACCCGCAAACGCAGCTTTTGTGGTTGATGGCGGTTGCTAGCGTTTTGCAACAATCACAAGAACCGCTACAAATCGCTTCAAACCGCTCCCAACCTCTTAAAATCAAAAGCTGGTTTCAGCTAGCGTTTGCGTTTGCGGGCGATTGCGGGTGGGTAAAAAAACTAATTTTCTTTTAAATTTAAATTAAAATATAAAAATAAAAATAATATAACTAAAATTANATATAAATATATAAATATATAAATATATAAATATATAAATATATAAATATATAAATATATAAATATATAAATATATAAATATATAAATATATAAATATATAAATATATAAATATATAAATATATAAATATATAAATATATAAATATATAAATATATAAATATATAAATATATAAATATATATAAATATATAAATATATAAATATATATAAATATATAAGTATATAAATATATAAATATATAAGTATATAAATATATAAATATATAAATATATAAATATATAAATATATAAATATATAAATATACATATATAAATAGATAAATACATAAATATATAATTAATTATATTATATTATATTATAATATTTTATTAATTATAGAAATTATATTTTCATCTAAATAAAAAATAATAAAAATAATATTGTTATTACTTATAATATATTAATAGTTATTATTTTTTATCATAACAGTATCTTTTGATATTTNAATATTGGAAATTTATTATTGAACCGCTGTAGTATCTCATAATCAACCAGTCATAAATGTCCCGCAAACGGACCAATTTTTAATCGCTGTACCAGTCGTACAAATCGCCTAATAACGCTAGAAACCGCAACCACCCACATCCGCAAACGCCCGCAACCGCAACCGCTATCGCTGCGTTGTAACCAGTCGGACCCTAAATCTTTGAAAAAAAGTCTCTGTGGAATAATAAAATCTTGAAAATTTTATTATAAAAAAAGGAGGAAACAATTGATTTAAATGTTCAGAATATTATATTAATGATTAAATAATATTAATAGACAAAAGTCTTGGGGGATACGCGATGAGGGTAAATAAGTAATAAAGTAAAAAATACTTATTTGTCTTGATTTACTTTCCATATTTTTCTTAAAATCATATACTTGCGGACGCCAAAAATATTATGAAATAGAGTTTTATTGGCGTCTATAGGTCCTTCTCTTTCTCTCTCTCTTTCTCTCTCCCCAATTCTTCTATCTCATCTTCTTTGCTCTGGAGCTAATTGGAAGAGAGAATCAATCAATCTCCTCCTGATAAAATCCCCAATTACTCTTTTACGACCCGAATTTCAAGCAAAGCTTTTTTCCTATCTTTAGCTTTTTTTTTTCTTTCCTTACTTTCTCATCACGGTGGAATCTCTCCTTCTCTCTCTCTCTCTTTTATCCCACTAGTGATTGATTACAGCTCGGCCTCCTTCCAGGTTCCCTTCTTTTCATCCTCTCTCTCTGCCCTTTTTTCACGAAACCCTAATTTCTAACCTGCGCCTTCTCGGATTTGTTTTTTTTTAGATTTTTGGAAGAGGGCTTTAATTGATTTCAAGTTTGGTCACGTGACGAGAGACGGATTGTTTTTGGATGATTTGATGCCGCCGCAGGACCACTCATCTTGGGATCGGAAGGATCTTCTGAGGCAGAGGAAGCACGAGAGACCCTCAGAGCCGCCTTTCGATCCTCCTCCCTTCAGGTGGAGGGATTCGCCTTCTTCTTCCTCTTCTTCTCACCGTGAGTTTTCGAGGTGGGGAGGATCTGCTGACTTCCGCAGGCCTTCTTGTAAGATACCTAACCTTATCTTCTCTTCTCCCTTATTAGGTCGTAGAATGCTTTTTTTTTTGTTTGGTTTAGATTTGAAAGCAAAGATGGTTTTGTTTATTAGGATTGAGTTTTGTTATTGTCTGCTCAGGAATCTGAAAACAGGAGAAAAGAACATAACTTTTGTTCCTGGCTTATTATCAGACAAGACGTGTTTCCAGCAGTAGATTCGTTGATTGTTGTTAGCTTTTGGTATTGTCTGCTCAGGAGACAAGAACATAACTTCGTTCCTGTTTCATTATCCTACAAGACGTGTTTCCATCAGTAGATGTCTCCATTGTTGTTAGTTTTAGTTTGATATGTCATAGATTTGGATGACAAGTGGTCTTTTATTGTTGTGGGTTTATTACATCTGTTGTTTTTTTCAGGTAGGTTTGAAACCCCTGTTTGGACTACTGGTCTTAAAGGAAATTGTATTGTCTTCTACAGTTTTATCTCTTGATTTGCTATGATGGTTCTGGAGTTTATTGATCTTTTTAGTTTCAGAAGTTATGTTATATATATGGAAGAATATAGTTCTTGCAGAGTTTCTAATGTTTCTCTTTGTCTTCAATATTGTGTGAAGGTCATGGTAAGCAGGGCGGAAGGTACCCGTTTGGGGAGGAGAGTAATCATGGATACACATCTTCTCGGTCCAGTGCTCGGATGTTTGAGAATGACTACTATAGACCATCAGCACCACGTGGAGACTGGCGATATTCCAGGAATTGTAGGGATGATAGAGTTCCTTTAAGCCAGAAGGACTGGAGGTGCAACAATACATGGGAGATGAACAACGGATCTTCTAGAGCTTTCGAGAGGCCATCTGGTGTTAGAAATGGTCGGAGGTCGGTTGAGGAAAGGCCGCCACCTGCTTCAGATACTCATACTGCTGGTGTCAACTCTTGGGGACCACCCAACTCCTCTCATCAGCCAGACATTGAGATGTGTACCCCTGTTCGGACTGTTAGATATAAAAACGAGCAGAAAATTTCTTCTGAGCAAAGGCAATCAATTCCTCCAGATACTCATTCTGACGGTCTTGGCTTGTTTGATCGGCCTTCTTCAGTGAACAGTTTCGAAAATAAGGAGTGTTCTCCAGCAAAGCAATCGAATGGTTTGATGTACGGTCGAAGGTTTGCTGATGATAATTCATTAGATCCTCCAGCAGAGATAGAGGGATCTCGGAATCATATTCTCCTAAAAGGCGTGCAAGATAATAAGTCACATGGAGTTAGTGATTTAGACGGTGTCAGGGAGAATGGGAAGGAGAATTCTCTGGGAGCAATTGGGAAGCTTCCAGTGTGGACCCGTTCTGGGAGTTTTGCTTCTCAGAGTTCAGGTTTTAGTCACTCAAGTAGCTTGAAAAGCTTGGGGGCTGTTGATTCCAGTGATGGAAAACGCAAGACTATCCCCAAAACTGTTGCTGTGACTCAATCTTCTTCAGGAGATGCTACTGCATGTGCCCAAACTACTGTATCTGAGGAGATGAGTTCTAAAAAGAAACAACGTCTTGGGTGGGGTGAAGGCCTGGCGAAGTACGAGAATAAGAAAGTTGATGTTAACACGACCGAGGATGGAACGGACTTGTTGGAGAACAGTGCAGAGGAACTGCATTCTTTGAACAAAAATGTTGCTGATAAAAGTCCTACAGTAGCCAATGCTCCAGATTATGGCTCTCCTACAACTCCATCCTCTGTAGCTTGCAATTCATCCCCAGGTACGTACATTTTGTAATACATCACTCTGTGTGCTCTTTGGAGTTATCTGTATCTTTTGCTTGAGCTCTTCTGTCATATACCTGATATTGTAAACACTAATTTTCGTCTATTTTTTTTTTCTTTTCATTTCTTCCACCTGTTTTAATACATTCACTCATCTTCTGCAGGGATATTGTAACATACCCACCTAATTTTGTATCTGTGTGTGCAGGGTTTGCAGATAAGTCATCTGCGAAGGCTGCTATTGGTGCTAGTGATGTCAGTAACATGTGCCGATCACCTAGCCCCGTGTCAAGTATTAACCTTGAACGACTTCCGATCAGTTTAGAGGAGCTTGATAACATCTCAACGGAGCGAGTTGGCTGTTTACTCACTGAATTGCTTGGTTCTGATGATCATGGTACAGGGGATTCCAGTTCCGTGCAGTTGACATCAATGAACAAATTACTTGCCTGGAAAGGTGATATTTTGAAAGCTGTGGAGATGGCTGAATCTGAAATTGATATGCTTGAAAGCAAACAAAGGGCGCTAAAGCTTGAAAGTGGAAGACAGTGCCGTGTTGTTCAACCCAGTTCATGCCTTTCTGAGGGAGATGAAAATGTGCAGCAGAAAGCCTCTTTGGGTCTCAAGGCAGTACCTTCTTCCGTGACTGAAACATTGGTGAGAGATCCTGTTCATCAGGCTGTTTCAGCCAAGGTTTCTGTTGAAATCCTTGAAGATAGTCGTCGAGAAGTTAATTCTCTGTCCGAGTTTGTTGCCACTGTTGGAATCAATGAAGATGTATTGCCCATACCGTCTATTACAGCCGATACCAATCAGGAAACTATCGACCTTTCTTCTGCTGATGATAGCATGGTATCTAATGAAGACTTGCTCTGTGCTAAGATATTATCTACGAACAAGATCTATGCCACTGAATCATCTGAAGCATTCAGTAAATTGCTTCCAAGAGATTTCAGTTCGTTTGATGACCCAAGATTCCCTGGAATATGTCAAAGGCAGCATAATTCTCATGTCAAAGAAAAAATTGCCGATAGGATAGAGCTCTTGAGAGCGAGGGAGAAAATTTTACTCCTTCAGTTTAAAGCGTTTCAGCTTGCATGGAAGAAAGATCTGCATCAACTAGCTTCAACAAAGTACCAACCAAAGGCTAACAGAAAAACAGATTTATTTCCGAATGCAAAGAATAGTGGGCATCTGAAGCTTGCCCAGCCTGTACGCCTGAGGCTCTCTTCTTCAGGTAAAATACTCAAAATTCTCTTCTCTGTTCTTTTCTCTTGGTATTTTAAGCTTTCCTTGGTTTGTCTTTTTCTGGGATAGATTCGGTTTTTATCTGGTAACTGTAAGATGGTAGTCTTGGAATGCGGTTTTTTAGATCATTTACTCTCTGCTTTTTCCCTTTTTCTGAGGTAAATATATGATTTAGTTGTAGAAACTTGTAAAGTATGATTTTGAGCATGATTTTTTGAGAGAAAACATCTAGAAGAACTCTTGAGAAACTAATTTCATGGTTGATTATAACATGATGCAATACGTTATCTGGGCGCCAGGTCTGTCAAATAATGGACAAATTTTTTATTGGGAAGCCAAGTTCAAAGTCATAACATAATAACGAGTTTTTGGATATGGTAAAGCTCAATTATTTTTTTAGATTCTGGTTTATTTATAGTCTCCACTGTAATATTAATATTAGCACCTAGCTTGTATAGCTAGGAGGTGTAGTCCAAAAGATTGCTTTCTAAAACTTTTGGATTCATTGGATTTTGAAATCTAATAGCTATTTACTCTACACGTGCAGCTCCAAGAAGGGGTAGTGTAGCCTCCACGACAGAGCTCGTAAGTTACATGAAAAAGCTACTAAAGAATACCAGTCTAAAGCCTTGTAGAGACATTTTGAGAATGCCTGCGATGATTTTGGATGAGAAAGAAAGGGTGAGGTCGCGGTTTATCTCTAGCAATGGGCTGATTGAAGATCCATGCGACGTTGAGAAGGAAAGAACAATGATTAATCCGTGGACCTCAGAGGAGAAAGAGACTTTCCTTAGTATGCTAGCAATGCACGGGAAGGATTTCAAGAAAATTGCTTCGTATCTTACTCAGAAGACAACTGCGGACTGTATCGATTACTACTACAAAAACCACAAGTCCGATTGTTTTGGGAAAATAAAGAAGCAGCGTGGTTATGGTAAAGAAGGGAAACACACCTACATGTTGGCGCCAACAAAAAAGTGGAAACGTGAGATGGGGGCTGCCTCTCTTGATATTTTAGGTGCCGTCTCCATTATAGCAGCAAACGCAGGCAAGGTTGCTTCATCCAGGCAGACCTCTTCCAAGAGGATTACCCTTAGAGGTTCCAGCAGTTCTAGTTCGTTGCAGCACGATGTCAATTACTCTGAAGGGCACTCCCACAGTTTCGATTTCCCTCGTAAGAGAACTCTTGGTGCAGATGTTGTAGCTGTTGGTCCTTTGTCATCAGAGCAGATTAATTCCTGCTTAAGGACGTCCGTGAGCTCTAGAGAGGGGTGTGTGGATCATCTGAAGTTTGCTCCTGCTGCAAAAAAGCCTCGGATTTCTCAAATTACACATAATGAGAACAGCAATGAGGACGATGACTCATGTTCAGAAGAGAGCTGCGGGGAAACGGGACCTATTCATTGGACCGATGCTGAGAGATCTGCCTTTATACAGGGTTTTTCGCTATTTGGCAAGAATTTTGCTTCATTATCGAGGTTCGTCAGGACCAGAACTCCAGATCAGTGTAGGGTTTTCTTTAGCAAAGTTCGGAAATGCCTTGGATTGGAATGTATACAGTCTGGATCTGCAAATGTGAGCACATCCGCAAGTGTTGATAATGCCAATGAGGGTGGTGGAAGTGATTTGGAGGGTCCTTGTGCTATGGAGAGTAACTCTAGCATATGCAATAATGGAGGTAGCGCCAAGATTGGTTTGAATACGGAGGGAGCTAATCTTTCAGGCTTTGAAAATGTGGAAGCCGGTCTTAGTAGATCAGAACAAGAGAATGGGCTGGCATTATTGCGTTTGAAAGATGGTACCAATCTCGTGAACACTGCATCTGCATCTATCAATGGGATCAATGGGGGTTTCCCGGGTCTAGTTTCCGAACCTTGCAAAGATTTGGTAGACATTAACACTGTTGAGAGCCACTGTCAGGCTGCAGACCAAATTAACAGCAATGATCTACTGTCAAAGGACATTGATGAAGGTAATTTGACATCTGTCGGGGCAGAGAAAAGTAAGAGCAATGATCAACTGTCGACGGAAATAGATGAAGGTAATTTAACACCTGTCGCTGTATCTTCTGAATATTGTGGGCCAATCGTTCTTTCCAATAATATCGTGAAGACTCCCACAGAAAGCTCACGCAAGGGCTCAGGAGTTGAAGGTGCTCCATTGCCTAAACAAAGTTCAAAGCATGATGGAGTGTTGCAAGCTGCAAACGAAACCAGATATTCTGGCCTTGAGGCTGAAGTTGCAGTTTCAAATTTCAGGTACCCCGAGTGTCTGCACCATGTTCCGATTGAGGAAGACCTTGTAGGCGTCAGTGTACCACAAGGAGATCCTAATGGCCATACAGAGACGGAGTTACCAAAAACTGTTGTTGTCCAAACAGATAACATTGGCTGGCAGTTTTCTGATGTCAGTCTGGATTTGGATAGGAGAAGTCAGGTTTTGGGTCATGTCAAACCTGAGCAGAATGGTCAACTAAATGCCACTTCTATGGAAACTCGTCAAATTCCGTGGATATCATTCACGCAAGATCCGTGCAGGATAATTAGGTCAAAATCTGATTTGATTGTGAAGGCTCAACGTACAGGTGAAGCTTTCTCACTCAGAAAGTGTACTAGCTCAGCTACTAAGCCTCTGACAGTATTCCAAAAAGATGGAAGATCTGGCCATAGCAGGAGCCATTCATTTAGTTTATCTGATACTGAGAGGCTTGATAAGAATGGAGATGTGAAACTGTTTGGCACAGTACTAAGTGCTGATGAGAATGGAAGCAAGCCTAAACAAAGTATTAGGTCATCATCAACAACTTTGAGCAGGGACCTTGAGACAGGACATCAGAACATTAATCAGCAACACCTTCAGAATGTTCCTATTACGAGCTATGGTTTCTGGGATGGCAACAGAATCCAAACCGGGTTGACATCTTTGCCAGAGTCTGCCAAGTTGCTTGCAAGCTACCCTGAAGCACTTACCACGCATCTTGGGCAGCAAGTTGTTAGTACCAAAGAGATTCAGCTGGATGCTAGTGGTGTCCTGAGCTTTGGGAAGCTTATCGAAGATAGAACAGAGATCTCGAGCGGTAAGGATAAAGGTAAGATAGGAGGAGAGGTAAATGGTGTAGCAGAAGCAGCCACGTGAATCAAAAACAAAAGAAGCTTTCTTAGGGTCAATGATTAGTTTGTTTTGGAGGTTTGGCATATTCTTTGTTTTGTGTCATCCTATCTGTATCATAATCTCACTCTATTGTCTTTTTTTTCTTCTTAATTTAGAATGTCAGTCGTCAATATAGGCATTTTTTTCTTTTTCTTTCTTTTGGTTTTAACTTATGTTAGGTGATGTTTGTATTTGTAAGGTTGCTGATAATAACATGGAAAGAGTGCCAAGCTTAGCTCTATGTATGTTTTCCCAAGGAGGATAACACTTAAAAAGATTCACATCTATTGTTGTCTTTGTGGAAGACTAACTCATCTAACTTGTAGGAAGAAATTGTGTGTTTCTGACTCGTCGTGTTTGGAGGATTGGTGGTAATGGCGCCACTACTTTTACAACCTGCACGATGGTAATGACATGAATATCAGCTGATTTAGATAGCTGGACAACTTTTGCAAAGACGTTCAGATTTGACGGCTTTACCATGATTGAGTTTATCATGAGTAGGTTAGGTAGCTCTACTTGATGTTCGTGAATATAATATCCAGCTTGATTAGGTCTTCGGTAAACCCCTGCATCACAATATTTACCCCAGGTTCTTCAGTATAGTCATGACACATGCTACAACAGTAGCCTATACACCGAACTTAACACACTACAAAAACCACTTGTTTGCATTATATATACATTGCAATATACCGAAGTAGTTAGCTCGACATTGTTGATCCATTTATGGGGATCGCTAATCTTGAAGAATCTAGAAAATCTGTTGGAAAATGTGAACGTTCTGTACCCATCTTTAGCTGGAGTAGCATCTACAACGTCTGGATCAAAGCATTTTGGTTGTCCCGCAACATAAAATGGGGTTTCTGCACATTGGTCAACGTGTGAGCAATATCTGCTTCTAAGATTTAATGTTTGCTGACTTGCACTGAGATCCTGTAAACATAACCACCTCTTTCATAGATCACAGTCAAAAGAACAAAACTTATGTCAAGCAAAAACTTACTAGACAACAATGACATAAGCAACTCATCCTAAACTGCATCTGTATGTATATGTTATCATAATATGTTCCTCTAAAGAATTAGACTAAAAAATGATAATGCGACACCAAATGTGATTTGGAACTTCAACTTAATACCGAAAGATATCTTATTTAAGCAGATAATATTATATCAAACATCAACAGAAAATCAGACAGGAAGGTGCATGGGTCTACTTGACATACTTTGTATACAGCAGGAGGCAAAGGAAACTAATCAACAGATTGTCTGATGTTTTGTTCAGAGTGAGAAGAAATTACCAAATGCCAACCATAGGTTATTCAGATCTTATTCCAAGGCTCTCAAACCATATATTCCACTCTACTCTCTTGCTCCTCTCCAACACAACACTTTGAGCTTCTTTTATATAGTGAATAATTCCATTTTTGGGTACAGTTTTTAATTTGCTATGGATATATAAGGACTATTAAGTACCTGACTCATGAACTATCTCGGTATCCTAATATCAATTCATTAGGCTTAGACACACAGCCAGAATGTTTGTTTCACACGCAAGGTTACAACTCAATTGGAGGGAACGATAGGAGAGATAGAGCTGCGTAAACTAATAACTGCTGCTGCTGTTGTCTCTCTTTACTATTTCATGAATAATCACAGGATCTTGATTAAACATAGTTATGTCTATTTGTTTGGTAATGATGAAAAAAAGTATATATATATAAAAGAATGGGTGTGCTAACAACGAATAAAAGCTACAACAAGTATTCAATCAGATGATGGAGAAACAACAAGAAGAAAAGAGAAACGAGAGAGAGATGTAATGTGGAAGAGGAGTGGACATTAATGACATTGTTGTGGCTAGGAGGAGTAGGAGTAGGAGTGAATACAAAAGCTCTACAAAGAGGGCAAGTAAGACTTCCACGGAGAAGCCAAGGTTCAATGCAATGTACATGGAACAGATGATTGCATCTCGGTAGATGTGTCACCTCATCCTCAGCTTCATAATCCACAAGGCATATTGAGCAGCATGTCTCTTCCTCCTTCTCCTTCTTTTCCTTATCCCCAAACATCACACTTGTTAGGTTGTAACCGTCATCATCATCATCATGGGGTCTAGCATCTCCACATTGCTTCTTCAACATCCCAAAAGGAATGCACACATATGTGTAGAATACTATGGCTGCTGTGCACAAAGGAGACTGTGGAAAAAACAATGAAATCATTTTTGTTTTCTTTCTTTCTTGAGATTCTTGCTTCTTGCTTCTCTATCTCACTCTTTATTCCTCTATTTATATAGACTACTATTGTCTCTCTGATAGAATACTATAATTTTATGTACTCGGAAGAGCGTTGGGACGGCGCCGACCACACCTCCCTCCCTCTCTTATTATATTCTTTTGTTGTTTAAAGAAAGTCAGCGATTTCCCCAACTTCAAGAAAACGTATGAAGAGTTTTATGGTCAACGTACGAGATGATAACATGCTTCCATCTTAAGCACTACCTGATACCTGCTTATAATAATTATTAATGATATCACATGACGGCGTTAAACACACAAAAGATGGCACTGAGATGATGCACCATCCCTCTTAACCCACATTGATCCCTGAAACCTCGGATTCATCACATTGCATAGTCAAGGGTATATATGTATTAAAAAGTAAGGAGTCCTTCCACCAAAACAGGCCTTAACTACGAGTTCAGGAATATAATACAGCCGGCCAAATCAACTAAAGATCTTCAAGTAACTCACTTATTAGTTTACTATTGACTTCAATCATATATTAAATGTTTTGGTTCTCAGTGGTACTTAAAATCTATTGCTTAACCTTGTTACTTTGTTGATGTAAAGTTTCTTAAGAATAAGTAAAACCACAACTTTTACTATAAAAAGGATAAACGAGTTGATTCATGGAGAGATACTATGAGGAAAATACTATGATCCTTCCAAAAATTCGACTTGTTTCACATGGTTGAATTTGAGGGGGAGTGTTTGAGTTTGGAGGTTGTGGTTCCTGTTTTTGCTTTAGCATAAATTGTTGTCCTTGGTGTTGTCTTGGTTTGGAGTTTTTTACTCTTTGATGTAAGCACTTGATGCAACAATGTTTTTGATTGAATAAATTTTACATTCTTTCAAAAAAAAGAAGATGACTTTCTAAAACACTAGTATTAGATTGTTGATATTATATAGAATTAAAGCATACTGAATGAATCTTTATTGTTAAAATAATTATGATTAGAAGTTACACTGAGAGATAGAGTATTTATTCTTGTGTGGATCTCTTGTACTCAGGCTTCAACTCATAAGTTCCTTGGTTGCTACCTTTGTTGTTGTAAATGCAAAGATCTCTAAGCAAGTCTTTCAAGAATTGCTGCACCAAACCACATTCAACACCGTTACACATTTCATTAAGCAGGACAAACCTCATTTTATTGTATTTTTTTTCTCTCTTTTGAAATCTCCTAGTCAAGCAATATACAAAAGTGTTTTTTTTTTTTTCATTTAGATTACCTCTGGTTGGTCTGTATCTTGAATGAGGTTCCTCAGAGTCCAATGAGATTGTCTTTCAAAGAGATTAAACATGACCCCCTCCATCTCTCTCCGGTCCCTTCTTGTTCTCTTCATTTCTGATGTCTTGGTTGTCACTTTCTTCTTTTCCTGATACATAGCAAAGAGTTGTATTTTTACATATGTGAAAAAAAAGAGTAGGTAATGTGTGTTTAGAATGGTGAAATAGATTGATAGATAGATAGATACAAAATTTCCCGTGGGGGCTACAGTTCCTGGTGTTGGCCACATATACATTCCAGTGGCGTTATCAATGACCTGGTCAAGTAAAAAAAAACCATAAATATGATAATGTTCTTAAAGATGCAGTGGTTAGTTTAAAACATTTTTTAACAAGAAACCTGGATCTGTTTGTTTTTGCACATAGACTTGGTTGCCCTTTCACGGCAAAGTTTGCCATAACTCTCCATGTTTTCATTACGAGGACTCATGTGAAATTTGTTTTTAATCTTCCCTTCTACTGACATTTTCCCTATACTTCCCAAAGAAGATCTTTAAAGAGAATCAACAAAGTTATGAAAAAGACAATGCCAGGGTCATCTCTGGATGGTAAATAAACAGACCAATGCTGAACCTTCACCCAGTGATCCCAAAATGTGATACGTCAAACAAAGATATGATAATACTATCATATAAACAAAAATGTGATACTTCAAACAAAGTTACTACCAAAAATAAGGAGAGGAGAACTTGATCTTTACCCTGTGAAGAAGACTCAGAGAAAACAGACATGGGAATAAAATCCTTAGACATATCCAAGCCAAAACGTTTTGGAATGTTTCCAGATCCAGCCCTAGCTAATTCCATTACCACCTGCTAGTCAAGAGAATCACATGCTTGACGAGCAAGAAAGTACACGCAACCCTAGAAGACAACAGAGAAGATCTAGAAAAAAAAAAAAGCAAAATGCAAAATACTTTGGTTTCTTCATCAACTGCAGCGAGTGGATCGACGGAGAGGATGACTTTGGCGACAGGAAGGTATGTATCGTCCGTAGAAGGAAGAGATTGGAGAGCAGAAGCAATGAGAGAAGGGCATTTCATCAGCCACATTGGTCTCTCTGCAAATTCTGTTTCCAAAGCTTGAATCTCATTCTTCATTGCACCAAAATCTTCCATTTTCATGTATGCAGAGAGATCATGGAAACAGAATTCCCATTAACCCTCCTGAAGCTTCCTCTGTCATCATTTTATAATGTCCAGATTATTGTCAAATGTGTTTGTCACTAAGGGAAGGAAGAAGTCAATCAAAATAACAAACCCTAAATCTATTTTTGGCATTAGTAGAATCCAAACGTGACAAGAACCTTATTTTATTTCTGATATACAAAACGATTACATAACATTTATACAAAGAGATATATTTTCTTGTTCAGCTTCTAGAGTACTTAACAAGTAAGTAGTTTCGTTTGCATGTATTGGTCAAATGTACTCAAAGAATCAAATGTTTTGGAGGAATGTGACGCAAATGTTATTATGTATATACTTGTGGGAAATACGTTAATTAATCCCCCAAGTTTTTGGCTATCATACCTGGTGGTGTATGTGTTTGAATTATATTCATGCTTTCTCCTCATGTTTATTAATGCTTTGGAAAAACTCGCGAAAGAATTATTTTACACTTACCTTCAGGGCCGGTCCTGGGCCAAGCCTAATGAAACATTGACTTTGGGCCCCCAAATTTTTTGAAAATGGTTTCATGCATATAGGTTTAAAATTTTTTTTTTAAGCCCTAAATCCATAAATTTTTTTTTTTTTTAAGTGAAATTGTTAAAAACTGACCTTAGACCTCTTTATTTTCAGGACCGGCCCTGCTTACCTGTATATATCCTTGATCTGGTTGATCTCAGTACTAATCGCATCTTGGTTAACATTTGGTTGTTGTAACTTGTAACATAACATTTTTTACTCATGAAGAAAACAAAAAAAAAAAAAAAACAAATCTGATAGATGACTAGAAAGCTATGTTGGGGAACGCGCTAGGCGTTAGTTGGGCGGCACGGTTAGACCTAGCGCCTAGAAAAAAAGGAAGATTAGACAGGGATTATACGGGACATAATTTTTAGACTATTTCATATGTTATAAAATATGTTAATCTTTAATTGTGTATAACATTAATATATTTTTATGTTTAGAATCTTATAAAACACACAAATAGAATATATAAAAGTAATATGATATAATTTTCAGCAAAATTATAAATATAAATTATTTTAGATAAAATAAATAGATAAAAGTATTATTAAAAAATAAAAAATAGATTAGGCGGCCGCCTAGGCGGTCATCTAGACGAACTAAAATCGGATGACCGATTTTTTACAGCGATTTGACATAAATCAAAGTGTAAGAGGGTCGCCTAGCACCTAAAAAATCGATTTTTAGAACAGAGCTAGAAAATAGATTTGACAACAAGAAAATAAAAAGAAATGTAGACTATGCAGAGTAGAATTAGTAAGCATTAAGATTTGTACAATTGGTTCCAAGAGTATATACTGAAAGTTCACTGGGTCGGTTTATGAAAGTTAAATAAACAAGGGACTAACTTATAAATAAATAAAGAAAACAGAAAGGGGGATGTCACCCCCTAGGGCTTCTTCTCCTTCATTGGTCGGATCAGGACGACGTTTACTTCATCTTCTTCTTCGCAAGCATTTCGTCAGGGTGAAACAAAGATGAGCGGAGCCGGTAAGAAAGTAGCGGATGTGGCGTTCAAAGCGTCGAGGACGATTGATTGGGAAGGGATGGCGAAGGTACTTGTAACCGATGAGGCTCGAAGAGAGTTCTCTAACCTCCGTCGTGCTTTCGATGAGGTTAACACTCAGCTCCAGACCAAGTTCAGTCAGGTTCCTCTCTCTCTCTCTTCTGATCATCTAATCTGCGAGTTCTGTTGTGTTTAGGAAAATCTAAGATCTGTTTTCTTGAAAAGGCGTATTAATCAGAGAACATTGTTGAATCTGTATCAAAAGAAATCACTTGTGCATTGGTTTCGCTTGTTATCACTAAATTGCCATTTTTTTTTGTTTCATATCTTCTTGGTTTGTGTGGATTGATTTGTCTTTTATTCTGATGAAACTGTTGTTCCCATAGTTGATATCAAAAATTGTACTTTTAAAAGATCTATTTATTTTTCTTAACGACGACGTATTAATCAGAGAGGGTTTGTGTAGCTTGGCCTTTTTGTTATTGGTTCCCCTAGTTTTTAGTTATGCCTTGATCACTGGTTTGCATCTTGCGATCCTTATCGTTCCATACCATTATTACATTCTTCTAAAGGAATCATTCATGGTCTAATGCTTGTTGGTTAATTTGTTGAAGGAGCCTGAACCCATTGATTGGGATTTCTACAGAAAGGGGATTGGGTCTGGCATTGTTGACATGTACAAGGAAGCTTATGACAGTACGTTCTTCTGCTATTATCTTTTTCTTCAAACACAACCTGACTATGCATAGTGATCAAGTGAAATACTTTAACTTGCGTTTGGTTAGCTCTCTGTAGACTCTTGACTCTTGAGAGAGAGAGATCTGCTCCATATAAAAACTTGAAATTGAAGTTCTCAGTACTCATTCTCTTCTTTTTAATAAAATTTTGCGGAACCATAAGTTGTATCTTTCTGGTTTGCTGCAGGCGTTGAGATTCCCAAGTTCGTCGACACTGTGACTCCTGAATACAAGCCAAAGTTTGATGCCTTGGTGAGCTATAGCTTATAAACTCCCTCCATTGTTTTACAATGTTTTTGACAAGATTCTTAACTTAGTCGTTTCTTCTGTGCCATGTTTCATTCGATATATTTAGTTGGTGGAGCTGAAAGAAGCAGAACAGAAGTCGCTCAAAGAGTCTGAACGGCTGGAGAAAGAAATTGTTGATGTCCAGGAGATAAGCGTAAGCACCTCTATTAATCTTATACAAAGTTCGCTTCCATGTGTACTTTTGTTAACTCAAGATTCTGATGTATGATTCCTTGTCTTGTCTTTATGTGTTGGCGTGATCAGAAAAAGCTCAGCACCATGACTGCAGATGAGTACTTTGAGAAGCACCCAGAACTCAAAAAGAAGTTTGATGATGAGATCCGTAACGACTACTGGGGATACTGATCATTGTTTATTGTACCTCCGGTGTGAAAAAACATACATTCTCTTCTTCTTTTGCTGTGATTTTGTAATAAGCATTACACTCAGCTGTTGAGATCTTCATTGGAGATCCAATGAGACAATGACGATAAACCCATTTGGTTTTAGTTATCAATTTCATAATGTTGTTTCTTTCTTCGTTCTAAAGAGAATACTAAAAGTGAAAGATCTCTCAAATGTACCATTACATGTCTTCTCTATTATCTCGTCACTATCATGTTATTACTTTCAGTTAACCAATTAAGTACCAACTAAGTTAAGAGAAAATCTGAACCATTACTATGCAAACCAGTTTGTTGTTGTGTCTTCGGTTTGAGAGATTTGATTTGAGAACCTGCAGTCTGAATACAAGTAATGGTCTAGATTTCTCTTTCCATATACATAATTGGTTTAACTGATACACTTCTTCGAGTGATATGCAACAAAACATTCATATCTTTTATTAATGAAACTCCTTTTCAAATGTTTACATACAGTAAAGAGTTCACTTTACTGTTTGAAAAATTATACAATATTGGTTAGCAATATGCTTAATAATAAGTACTGTAGTAAGACTAATCTTCCTCATTGCATTAAGACATCATCATGAATTAGAGATTGGAAACCACAATTTTTCCTTATTTGTTAGTCTAAAAGTTGTATATGAGGTCAGCCAAGGATAAGATGCTCTTACATTTCAAAATACATTTAAAGATATATCACATAATATGATTTTGATGAGGAAGCTAACAAGAAAGAGATTGCAATCATGGAAAAGAAAAAAACATGATATGGCTCTTGTTCCTCCTGAGGAAGAAGTTAAACTGGTGATTACCAGCACGAATGGGGATTAAGCTGGTGGGAACAATTGCATACTTTCCTTGTGAGGAAATGATGATGAGGTGGGAAGCTTTGGGTGATTCTCCTCTAAGAAGCTCCATGGCCAAGTACCTAAATGTGAAGGTCGAATCTTACTACTCTCTCTTGTGTCATCTCCCAAGTTAGGCTGATCACTTTGCATTCCTCTTGAATAGGATCGTATCCAAAGTGGTTCCACATATTGAAATCATCTTTTGTGATGTCAATACAACTAATGGAAACTCCACGTGCTGCTTTGTTGCGAGGTTACATATTCGCACTCTTCTTTCGTTTATGGAACACCTCAATCCCCGGAAGAGCGTTCACGAAGCACCCTCCTCCCCTTCCGGTATGGTCACATTTTGGTTGAGTCGGTAGGCTTTACCACGATGTTTCTCAGACAATGTTGAATGCAATGCATAGTCTCGTTGAGCATGTAGTTTATGTAAACACATAACTAACAAAAATAAGAAGAAAATTGTAATACTTTTCCTTTTCACGCAATAAACTCTAATTGTTAATTGGGTTATAAAATAAAAATAATAATTAACTATTACCTTTTTTCTCTTTTAGGAAAATATTTCAATTTCTACTTATAGTTTGAGATCTCGTGTTTGACTAAACTGTTTAGATTTACAATATTTCATTTAAATGTGACTCACTTTTTATTTGTGATTTCATACTCATATGCATCGATTTAGGTCTATGAGATTTCAATTCAATGTTTGTTTCCGTATTTTTATCTGAGATTTCATTTTCATATGCATCTATTTTTTGTTTGAGATTTTGTTTCATATGTGTTGATTTTGATTATAATGGTTGTATCTTTTGTTTCCTTGGCCTTAGATCATGTTTTTGATTGCACTGAATTAGACCTAAGATATTTCATTTTTATATGCATCGATTTTGATTTGAGATTTCATTTCCATATGTGCCGATTTATATCTATGAGATTTCGTTTTCATATCCTGATTTGAGATTTCATTTTCATATATGCATTATTTTTTATTTATTTTGTTTCTATATACGTTGATGGTGTCTTTTGTTTCATTGGTCTTAGATCTTGTGTTTAATTCGACTGATATAGATGATATTTCATTTCCATAGGCGTCATTTTTGATTTAAGATTTCATTTCCATATGCTTTGATTTTTA